TGCGGTTTTCTATATGCATGTTGATGTATCTGTACTCAGGAGGACCATTTCCACATCCTGGTTTGTTAACCTGTATGGATATATATGGAAAATAAAATGAAATGAAATATGCTGCAGTCACCATCTTCAGGGTAAATAGGACAGGAGCACAAAGTGGACTGGGGCATGGTGATATCCAAAGAGAAGGGGCTATGAGGTTATGAAGAAGGGCTGGAGCAGAACAGGTGCAGCGCTGTTGGTTGAGGCACTATGCTACAAGGAGGAAGGACGCGGGTTCAAGTCCCGATGAGGTCATTTGAATTTTTTTCAATTGACCTAATCCTTCCAGCCGGACTATGGCCCTGGGGTCAACTCAGCCTCTAACAGAAATGAGTACCAGGAATTACTTAAATAATTTTCCTGGGGAGTAAAGTGTGGCCGGCGCGTAAGGCTGACAACCTTACCGCCATCTTCGAGCTGAGTGTCTTGATAATGTGGGACCCTCTACGTCTCACAACCCTATGGGCCTTCACGGCGTGTTACAGGGATAGCTTTACTTTCTTTTACATAATCAGGGAACCCATCAGAACAGACATCGCCACAACTTCAACCAAGATGGGTACACCCACGCAGTCTGGTTGCAAGTGTTCTCCAACCCTTCTTGCCCACAAGGTTCATTCCCATTGGAAAACACCATGGCCACCATAACTTCCACTTCTACTGAAGGCAGTAACCACAACAAACATCAAAATTACACACAGTCAGGAGCTCAGTACAAACTGGCCACAAGCTGACGGACAGAGCAGTAATATATAATTACCTACATTAAACCTGGGGTTACAAGATCTACAAATGTTTCACTTGTAGTCTATCATAATTCATATCATCTCAACATCTTTATGTGTGTGTACTACTTTCAGCACAGTAATAACATCGTACATTTTTTTATTTCATGTATATAATCACAACTAAATCTCTCTGCCCAAAGGAAATTCTCTAAAAAAAGATGCTGATAAAATACATACTGAAGAATGTTTGCATCCTAGGGGTAATCCAAGGGGAAGCACAACAGATCATTGAAGGTCGCAGTGCAGGGGCCGGTTTTTATGGCCCATCCCTTACATACATACATGTTTCCATCCTTGGTAATATAACATGAGATTTTTACCTCTCTTCCAAGCCATCTAAGTATTCCTTCTTTCTCTTGCGTGAATCCTGTGCTGATATCTTATTACGGATTTTTCTTCCAATCTTTTTGAGTTCACGCTCTTCATCTTTTGTGAGAGGATAATGAGAAGACAGTCGGACACCTTCTTTTTCAAGAAGATGTTTCTCTTTAGCTGCAAATCAGTTACTGTACATTAGACACACAAAAATGATTTAATTTTGTTAAGTAAAATATATTTCTTAGTGCCCAGTGCTTTCCTGGAACTGCATTTGTACTTTAAATTTACAAAGTTCACACTGGGATAAAGATTAATCTTCAAGAAAGTTACTTGGAACAAACTGCTACATACTTCACATTCTAAGACAAATATTATTTAATAATACAGAAATTCGAAAGTTTCCAGTATGTTCACAATAAAAGAGCTCAGTGACATTAACACTAAAGGTTCACTACCAATTGATGAATGAAATAGAAATGGAATTTATATCATGACAGCAATAAACTCTCTTTTAAGGCACTTGCACCACAAATTCAAGAGTGATTCACATGAACTTTCAGGTCAAAAACTACTCAGTGAAAGATTTGCTATGACAGGTGCAACACATACATAATAGGAATTGTTTTAAAATCTGAAAAAATGCATGGTTCCTTTGTAAGACCAAACTTCATACTTTACATATACTTTATGTTACTGTGAATCATCCTCAACTTATTCAAAAGCTCTTTAACCATAACACTTATGCTGATCATTCTTACATGTTAACTGAAGTCTTGGATACTGTGATTTTGAATCATGACCCATTTCTTCTGATATACTTCCTTCAGAAGACTGGATGCTGCCAAAATCATCTTGTGAAGCAATACCTTTGTCAAGAACTGGTGTGACGTGAATTAACGGCCTCAAAGAACTGCTGGTGGTTATGAAATTGCTGTTTTGGACAGCTTGTTGTATTGGAGGCAATACATCTGCAAAAGATTCATTTAACAATTAGATACAACTAACTTAAATTAATTTTCCTTACAACAAAATTTTTCCCTTGTCACCAACTGACATGACCATCCTCACAAAAGGAAACAAATATTCTTATCTGCGGTAGCGAGACACTATATCCTCCGCAACAAGCTATTTTTAACATTAAGAGTAGAACAACAGAATATATCCAAGTCTTTTACCATCATGAACAGCTTTTTGCTCCATGATAATATACGAGAGTAAGTCAATAATTATCTGCAATGTAGCTATAAATTTTATTTCGATACAAATTGAAAACTTACATTAACATAATTTTTCAACATAGTCCCCTTGCTTTTCAACGCACTTGGTCCATCGTTGCACAAGCTTCCTGATGCCCTCAGAAAAGAAGGTTTTCAGCTGAGCAGTGAGCCACGCACGCACCGCTTCCTTCATTTCTTGGTCCGAGGTGAATCGATGGCCCCTTAATGCTTCTTTGAGTGGACCAAACAAGTGGTAGTCAGAAGGGGCGAGATCAGGACTATACGGAGGACGAGCCATTACATCAAACTTCAGTTTCCGGAGGGTTTCAGCAGTGTGAGCAGCAGTATGTGGACAGGCATTGTCGTGCAACAACACAACACCTTTCAACAGTAGTCCTCAGCGTTTGCTTCGAATTGCAGGCTTTAACCTGTCAGTAAGCATCTCACTGTAATGAGCACTGTTTATTGTTGTGCCCCTCTCCTGATAATGTTCATGCGAGTCTCAAAAAACTGTAAGCACCAGTTTTTCTGCGGATGCTTGGCTTTTGAACCTTTTCTTGCTGGGTGATTGTGGATGTTTCCATTCCGGCTCGCAAT